GTTGTGTGGGTGAGCGGTTTGCTGATGTCAATGTTGTGGATCGAGTGGCCCATGGTGGTGGTGGGGTTATGGTATGGGCAGGCGTATGTTATGGACAACGAACACAGGTTCATTTTATTGATGGCAATTTGAATGCACAGAGTTACCGTGACGAGATCCTGAGGCCCATTGTTGTGCCATTCATCCTCGACCATCACCTCATGTTGCAGCATGATAATGCACGGCCCCATGTTGCAAGGATCTGTACACAATTCCTGGAATCTGGAAACATCCCAGTTCTTGCATGGCCAGCATACTCACCGGACATGTCACCCATTGAGCATGTTTGGGATGCTCTGGATCGGCGTATACGACAGCGTGTTCCAGTTCCTGCCAATATCCAGCAACTTCGCACAGCCATTGAAGAGGAGTGGACCAACATTCCACAGGCCACAATCAACAACCTGATCAACTCTATGCGAAGGAGATGTGTTGCACTGCGTGAGGTACCAGATACTGACTGGTTTTCGGGCCCCCCCAGACCCCCCAATACAGTAAAACTGCACATTTTAGAGTGGCCTTTTATTGTGGCCAGTCTAAGGCACACCTGTGCAATAATCATGCTGTCTAATCAGCATCTTGATATGCCACACCTGTGAGGTGGATGGATTATCTCGGCAAAGGAGAAGTGCTCACTAACAAAGATTTAGACAGATTTGTGAACAATATTTGAGAGAAATAGGCCTTTTGTGTACATAGAAGAAGTCTTAGATCTTTGAGTTCAGCTCATGAAAAATAGGGGCAAAAACAAAAGTGTTGCGTTTATATTTTTGTTCAGTGTGTGTGTGTGTATATATATATATATATATATATACACACAACATGCCAGAATTATGGCTAGAAACATGATTAGCAACATGCTAACTTAATGCTAATTATGCTAGTTACATGCTAATCCTGCTAGAAAAATGATTAGCAGCATGCTAATCCTGCTAGAAACATGCTAATTTTTTCATTTATCTAAATTTTCAAACTTCACAAGTTTTTACAGCAGCTTTAAACTTTCAGGCTAGGCTTTCTCAAGCCAACCATGACAATCTTGACAAACTTTTTTATCTAGTTGTATTTAAAGCAGAATATCTGAAGAATTCGTCAGATTATGAATAACCAGGATTAATTGTTAACTCTAGGTAAAGTATGAACAGTGTGAAATGTAAAATATGATTACTCAGGATCCCGTTTACCTGGGGTTTAGAATTACCCAGTGCTAATTATTCCAAGTGTGAGAGATCTTAAATGTTTGAGGTACTATTAGTGATTCTGCCAAATATGCCCTTTAGCAGTAGATACTATATAATCTGATGAAGCTTCACATTATATAACAATAAAAATTTTTTTAAATTCTAATAATTAATACAGATGAGGAAAAATCTTGGTTTATAGATGTGAATGCAGCCACTTTTCCCTAGGAGGCATGGGATTTGTTTCAAACATGTTACAATACTGCATATCTGAACTCTTGGTAGCTTCAGAAGCTGTTAAAATGAATAAAATCCCTTCTTCAAAATATCCTTGAAACTGATTCAAATATAGAATCTTATGAATAGACTACTGAAAGAAAGGTAATGTGCCTCAGCTTGTCCATTTCAGTGTATTTTAAGCACTCCAACAGGTATGTTTTATACATATTGTTTTGATAGAGGGAAACAACATACAATTCTAATTTCAACATTATTTATTCTTCAGACATTGTTCTTTAAATTAAATAAGTATAGACTGTATACAAAGTGACCAATATTTGGTTTTTGACCACTGAAAATGGGTAATACTCAATCTGGAGCCTCATTGAGACCCTCCTATCTTTGGGACTGAATGATGTAAGGCTTTGAAAATGAAGATTCCAAAAGAAAAGTTCATTAAGAACTAGAATCTAAAATTATATTGCGAAATCTTTAATACTTCTTGAGTTATAGGCACGCAAACTTTGGAAAAAGAATATCTATGGCACTCAGACAGTTATGTTCAATGCAGTTGTTTTGACACAAGGAAACAAGATAAATTTCTAGTTTCAACATGATTTGTTCTTCAGACATTCCTCTTTAAAAGAAAAGTAGCATCATACCTGAAATTGCTCCTAAAACTGACCTACATTTGGTTTTTGACCACTAAAAATGTGTACAATTTAATGATATACTCCTGGAGCCATATTGAAATTCCAATATCTCTGGAACTGAACAATATAGGGCCTTAAAAATTAAGACGTCAAAAGAAAAGTTTAAGACCTGGAATCTAAAAGGGCATTAAGATATCTTTAATACTTCTTGAGCTACAGGCCTGCAAACTTTGGAGAAAAAACTTGAAAAGTGCTCTTTCCCCTTTTTTGAACAGTCACCATTTTCACATAATGCAACAAAGATTGCTAAAGTCAACAGATTTTACTAATAGACCTACCAATCTCTGAGTAATAGTAACATTATGATGCTGCCATTATATATATATATATATATATATATACACACAACATGCCAGAATTATGGCTAGAAACATGATTAGCAACATGCTAACTTAATGCTAATTATGCTAGTTACATGCTAATCCTGCTAGAAAAATGATTAGCAGCATGCTAATCCTGCTAGAAACATGCTAATTTTTTCATTTATCTAAATTTTCAAACTTCACAAGTTTTTACAGCAGCTTTAAACTTTCAGGCTAGGCTTTCTCAAGCCAACCATGACAATCTTGACAAACTTTTTTATCTAGTTGTATTTAAAGCAGAATATCTGAAGAATTCGTCAGATTATGAATAACCAGGATTAATTGTTAACTCTAGGTAAAGTATGAACAGTGTGAAATGTAAAATATGATTACTCAGGATCCCGTTTACCTGGGGTTTAGAATTACCCAGTGCTAATTATTCCAAGTGTGAGAGATCTTAAATGTTTGAGGTACTATTAGTGATTCTGTCAAATATGCCCTTTAGCAGTAGATACTATATAATCTGATGAAGCTTCACATTATATAACAATAAAAATTTTTTTAAATTCTAATAATTAATACAGATGAGGAAAAATCTTGGTTTATAGATGTGAATGCAGCCACTTTTCCCTAGGAGGCATGGGATTTGTTTCAAACATGTTACAATACTGCATATCTGAACTCTTGGTAGCTTCAGAAGCTGTTAAAATGAATAAAATCCCTTCTTCAAAATATCCTTGAAACTGATTCAAATATAGAATCTTATGAATAGACTACTGAAAGAAAGGTAATGTGCCTCAGCTTGTCCATTTCAGTGTATTTTAAGCACTCCAACAGGTATGTTTTATACATATTGTTTTGATAGAGGGAAACAACATACAATTCTAATTTCAACATTATTTATTCTTCAGACATTGTTCTTTAAATTAAATAAGTATAGACTGTATACAAAGTGACCAATATTTGGTTTTTGACCACTGAAAATGGGTAATACTCAATCTGGAGCCTCATTGAGACCCTCCTATCTTTGGGACTGAATGATGTAAGGCTTTGAAAATGAAGATTCCAAAAGAAAAGTTCATTAAGAACTAGAATCTAAAATTATATTGCGAAATCTTTAATACTTCTTGAGTTATAGGCACGCAAACTTTGGAAAAAGAATATCTATGGCACTCAGACAGTTATGTTCAATGCAGTTGTTTTGACACAAGGAAACAAGATAAATTTCTAGTTTCAACATGATTTGTTCTTCAGACATTCCTCTTTAAAAGAAAAGTAGCATCATACCTGAAATTGCTCCTAAAACTGACCTACATTTGGTTTTTGACCACTAAAAATGTGTACAATTTAATGATATACTCCTGGAGCCATATTGAAATTCCAATATCTCTGGAACTGAACAATATAGGGCCTTAAAAATTAAGACGTCAAAAGAAAAGTTTAAGACCTGGAATCTAAAAGGGCATTAAGATATCTTTAATACTTCTTGAGCTACAGGCCTGCAAACTTTGGAGAAAAAACTTGAAAAGTGCTCTTTCCCCTTTTTTGAACAGTCACCATTTTCACATAATGCAACAAAGATTGCTAAAGTCAACAGATTTTACTAATAGACCTACCAATCTCTGAGTAATAGTAACATTATGATGCTGCCATCTTTCTGAAGTAATTTTTACCACCCTGCAATTTGGCTCTGAATCTTAAAATTGCAATTTTGACACCCCTCTACAAAAAAGCAGATTACTCAGTAAATATTCATCCATGACATTTAATATTTTGGCTTTCATCACTAAACATGTTTATCTTTCTTCAGAAAAAATATTAGCAAAATCTAAAATTTGAGCCTGGGACCTCTGGTTGAGTTGACACGGAATGACCCAAGAGCTATTATCATCTGATCAGCACTTACTAGCAAGACCAACAAGTCCTATTTCCATACTTACACATTTCTTATCCAAATGGAGCCAGCAAAGAAAACAAATTATGCAATTAAGTATTATAATCAAAAACAGATTAAAGAGAGGTGTGATACAAAAGGGAGCTCATCCTACCTGTCTGCTATTTGAGGAATTATAAAGTGTTGACTATTTTTATGATCTGAGAAAAAAGAAAAATCGTTTCAGGCTCTCAAGTTTTTGAGGTACATTCTGTTATTACAGAGATACTTATGACTGACCTGGCTTTCTTCCACACAGATAGAACGCTAGTCTGTCTGTCAGCTCAAACTGGATCTCCACCAGTCTGTCTGCAAGTTCCTGGTGTCCTGCCTGCCTATAGTGGGACATAACAGATAACAGAAGAACATCAAACATAACTGAAAATGCTGAATCTTTGTATTGTTGATCCCTCAGATCTGCTTCTCTCTCACCTGGCGTAGTCAATAGGATTCTTCCCAGAACTGTCTGGTGCTCCGGGATCTGCTCCATACACAGTGAGCAGCTCCGCCTGTAGCAGCTGGCCTGCTTTAGCAGCCACATGTAATGGAGTATTTCCTTTCTCCTGAAGAAAACAAGTGACGTGGCATTCATTGGAGTAATTCAGTTAAGGACAATACAACTTAATACCTGCTATGGAGCGCTTAGATTAAATAGCAAACGCTGCAAAACAATGAAACCTTATTCCACCTTAGCAGTGGATTGATATCTATATATACAGTCATGTAGAATACAGTATTTACATATTTGGTCAAAACTGATGAGGTATCTTAAACTACGATCTATCCTTTGGCAGACTGATTTGGCTGAACTATGCTCAGATTTTTTAGTTTCAGCGTTGGTACAGATACTGTTTTTAATATGTTGTTTTAATATAACATTACCTAGAACAGAAAATGAAGCAATAACATTGAAACTTACTGGATGGAAAAAGTTAGCCTGCGCTCCCAACGACAACAGCCTCAGACAAGTTTCCAAATTGCCGGTTCGAACACTAGAGTGAAGTTGCTGAAAACAAGGGTGAATTCATGGTTTATCTGATGGTTTTGGTCTCAAGAACTTGAAGATCACATCAGACATAGATCTTGATAGTCTTTGTTTAAATCTCAGTTTCATCTCAGAGGTTCATGTCCACTCATATTATATTACTACATTCTCACCTTGCTGAGGTCTTTGGCAGTAACACTATCATCTTCACGGCACGGCATTCGATGAACAAACGCCAGCATTTGATATTTAGCCTTTATGAAATCCGTTTTGTTGGGGCTGAGAGAGAAGATAAACAATAAAGTGAGCATGTTTATGCTGAGAGACTCGATTTGTTCCACACACACACACACACACACACACACACACACATACATATATACATATATATATATATACACATATCATGATATATGTGACTCACTGGACTCTGTCTTGAGGATTGGCTTTGCGTTTTCCACTCATGATGGAAGATGGATCCAGAAGACTGTGTTCCCAGATTGAATTTGCTCCATTATTGTACAGGGACTTCACCATCTGTGGATAAACACCAAAAACTTCACCTTAACTTTCACTTTGAGACAGAAAATGAACGCATAAAATGCTGCAATAGTGTTTCTATGACTCCAGCAAGACACATGAGAAGCATCTAGACTCTAAACCAGAGGTGTCAAACTCAGCTCCTGGAGGGAGTGAGTGCTACAGAGTTTAGTTCCAACCCCGCTCCACCACACATACCTGTAGTTTTTAAATAAGTGTTAAGGACTTGATTAGCTGGATGAGCTCCGTTTTTAATTAAGGTTGAAGCGAAATTCTGCATAGCTGTGGCCCTCCAGAAATTTAATTATCGTAACGTGTCCTACCCAGAAATCAAACATGAATGGCCTCTCGGGTCATATTTACAACTGCGAAACTCTAAGATAGCATGTGAAGGCAGCAAGGCGTTCTATTCCTGTCTGAGGAACTGAGATACAATGCCCCATTTCCTGTTAATGAACCTCAGGAAATGCAAAGCTAAGCGGCTCCGCATCAGAGCATGCAGCATGGCTTTTCACCTGGAGCTGTGAGGAGGGCCATAGAGTTTGGGTCAGGTGTCGGACCTGAGAACTGTGGCGGCCCAGGCCTCGGTGAATACTGCAGCATTCGTCACAGATCAGAACTCCACGATTGATCGAGGCCCAACGAGAATCTGAGAGGGAAAAAGAAAAGCTTTGAGTCACCAAGTATTGCACTACACGGTTACAAATTCCCCTCGATAGGCAGATCCTGACATTATTTTCTAGTCATTCTTCCTCCTTAGCCGCATAATGACCCTTACAAAACTTGTCTGAGCAAAACATATGAGACATAGGGATGGGCGATATGGGCTTTAAAATATATCACGATAATTTCTGATATTTATTGCGATAACGATATCAATGACGATAATTTAGGGAATCCTGTTTCTTTAGAGCAGTGATCACCAACCTTTTTAGGCCCAAGATCCCTGACCTCGGCCTTTATGAAAGACAAGATCTACCTATTGAAGAATTGATAGAAAAAGACATCCCAGATTGTACTTCAAATTTGAGGCCTTTTACTTAGTATTTTAATTAGTGATGCGCCGATCATAGCGGATTCAAAATTCAGATTTTCTTTTCTTTCTTTTTTTTTTTTTAACTAGCAAATTGGATTCTGATACTGATTTTTAAGCAAATGTATTTATTGGCTATTTGCTTTATAACAAACAAACTGGCTTTAAACAAAAATATCTAGCCATTTGAAATTAGAGGCAACCACTGCATTTTAATCATGATCTGCACAGGCAGTTGTTTTTGATTTGATTTAGATTAATTTCAGAATTTAAAACAAAAACAGAATGGTCTGACTTTAGATGTTATTTATTTATTTGCTACATAAAACATCTGCACGAAACAGAAACAGCATGTCTGAATGAGAGGCACTCTCTGACAGCAGGTCGCGCCTATGAACAGGGTTGCCAGGTTTTCGCAATAAAACTAGTCCAATCGCGTCTCGAGGAGGTTTCCCCTGTAAAAATCGAATTCGGGGGGTAAAATACACGTTTTTCGGCGGGGATCTTCAAGTAAAATTCACATTCCAGGGACTAAATATCACGTTATTGGGGTCGCTTCAACCCGCGGACATGAACAACAACCCCCGGCAACAACACTGCATATAAACCGACCGCAATATAGCATTTCCTTGTTTACAGCTGTAAACAAACCAGCGCTGCGCTTTATACGAAGAAGAAAATGCCACTGCCATCGAAACTTTTCTCAAGACAATTCCCTTCAGTGATACATCGCGATCGACGGGTTGGCGACCACTGCTTTAGAGAAAACTATTATCTTTCCTATTTCTACCCAAAATAGGGTGTTGTGAGCATTACTGAGTTCACGCGTAATGTAATGACTGTTTAATTCATACTGGAAGCTGGAGGGTGCCCTTGCGCAGAAACTCCACATATGCATAGTAGAAGTAATGCTCCAGGAAAAAGTATCCAGTGATCGCTGTAGCTGAATAAAACGCAGATAAAGAAATTTTAACTCAAGACAATAAACATGCGATTGCACAAAATATATGGTATCTGTGGAAGCCCGTTTCCGCCACTGAATAAAAAAATATAATTCCGTAAGTCATAATAATAAGAGTGACAGCACGCTAGCGCCACCTGTTGGTCAAAGCCATGCAGGAACACCGCTAACATTGCATGTGATGCATGAAAGGGACAGCTAATAAAACTAATAAATCATCGAAATACACATCTATAAATTAAGTTTATGGATTATGGATACTAAGTCATTATTACGAGAAAGTTTCTCATTATGAGAAAATAAGTCATTATTTCGAGAAAGTTCCTCATTATAACGAGATACTAAGTCATAATTTTGAGAAAGTTTCTCATTATTATGACTTACGGAATTATATCTTTTTTATTCAGTGGCGGAAACAGGCTTCCATAGGTATCTGTGTTCTTCAAGAAATCTTGGGTATTTTTTATAAGGATAAAGTATATTTATAATGCAATGCTAATCGACATAGCCTTTATCACTCTATATAATGCTATAAAATAGTATGATTTCTGCCTTATTCTGTGATACAAAACCACGTCTGATCACAAAAATAAGTTATTTCAAACGCTCGACTATGTTATGAAGTTAATATGGAGAAAAAGCATGTCAATAAATTTAAATATCTTTGTTGAACAACAGGTTTGTAAACGACTCATACACATGTAAAACTGTGTCGCGCACGTGCTACTGTAGTACATTTACTCAAGGCTCAGACCGATTTTTGTCGCACTGTACAGCCCTATCTAAACCTGTTCGAGATTGTAGAAGGAGCTGCTCAATTTCACGTCCGCTTCCTTCACGTCATTCCACACATTCGTACACAGAAATATGTCAACAACTAGACTTTATCGTTATTATCGCAGGAAGACGAATTCTTATCGTGTGGAGAATTTTTACCGGTATATCGCAAACGATAAGATATCGCCCATCCCTAATGAGACATGTATACTGTATAAGCCTTCATTTGTGACATTAAGCATGTGGTTTCTTTGTACAAATGGCCAGATGTGCTTGTTTCCATTGAAGTGCAAAGTACTTTTTAGATCATTCTCTAAAAATACCGAAGAACATGATCACCAGGATTCAGAGCTTTTGTCATTAAAGCAAAGGAGCTACAGTATCTCATTTAATGCATTCTTTTTTCACAATAACCCAAATTTTTACAGACGCTCATTTTTAAGTGAGCAACAAATAGCATTTTAAACTGAACAGTCAAGTTGGCCCAAAATAAAGATGGAAGTAGATCATTTAGACCTGCTGTATCGCAAAACAATGCAGTATAACTATAATACCATAAATTAAAATTTATAATTAATGTATAGTATAATGTGTGTCATTGCTGTAGATTAAAGGGGTCATATGATGCTATTTTAAAGATCATTATTTTGTGTATTTGGTGTAACCGAATATGTTGACATGCTTTAATGTTCAAAAAACACATTATTTTTAAAATACTGTGGGCGTGTTAGAACGAGCCGTTTTAGGGGGGCGTGGCAGAGTCTTAACTTTGATAAAGAATATCTCTTTGGTTTTGAGACTTTAGTCTTTGCAACTTCAGGGATCTTATCTATGCACAATCAGCTTGTAACACTCCAAAGAGAAAGAGAAACTTGAAATCGCATCATATGACCCCTTTAATTGTTCTTGTGTGTATATATATATATATATATATATATATATATAAAAAACAGATAGTTCTGCATATTGATTTTCGGAAAACTAAAACAAACTTAATCTGTGTAGTAAGTATTGGTTGTGGGAGAAAAAAAATACATATAAAGTGATTAAATGACGAATAAATAAATATTAATTTTCCTTTTGGCCGAGCATTGGCTAATATATTGGTTTATCACTATATTTATTTGATGTATGAATGTATTTGATGACAGCTTTGGCTGAAACCAAGTTATTTATGCTGCATTTTATTTAATTATTATTTTTTTAAATAACAATAACCGTTATGATAATAGCAACTACGTATTCTGATGGAAACTGGTCTCCACATATTGTCTGGTCTTTGTCTTATTAAAATTAAGATGGGGTTTTGCTTCGCAGAGAAATTATTTTAAAAAAACCCCCGAGGGCCTGAACATCATCAGTTAGCGCTATTTTCCATTGGGAATATCAGGATTGTCATTTAACCGCAATCTGTTTTATTCAGGCACCAATATCCATGTAATACGCAAGGATTATTACGGTGTTTGCTTGAGAATAATCTAAGAGAAATGAATTGTATGAACATCTGTCTGAATAAAACCCTACAGGACCTCATCAGCACTGTTTGCGTTTGTTTTGTTGGTCTTACCGGGCGCGCTGCAGTCCGCGCAGATCTCTCTGTTTCGCGCTCTAATGGACATCATACAGCTGCGTTCCACGACAGTCTAAAACATTAATGTGATTAAGGGATTAATGAGGGAAAGGGACAGATGTGAGGAGGACTTGTTTCCCTTGTTCCTCCTTATTTGACGCCTTTTTTCACTTCCTGGAAGAGGAGGAGATCAGCAGTCATGGGCGGGTGTTCTTCAACATGACGACGTTACTGCAGGCGAGCGACGCGACCACTAGTTTGTCGCGTCGTATCGCTTTTAGTTTACATTCATAAATACAAACTAGAGGGTGGTGGGGGGAAGAAAAACTAATTTTGTAAATATGAGGCAAAACAGAAAGTACTGTGTGTTCTGACAAGAAGGCTTGTTTGAATGTCACTAATTTTAATAAATAGTTATTGGCTAAAATATTTGGAGAAAATAAGAAGAATCGCAAGGATTATTACGGTGTTTGCTTGAGAATAATCTAAGAGAAATGAATTGTATGAACATCTGTCTGAATAAAACCCTACAGGACCTCATCAGCACTGTTTGCGTTTGTTTTGTTGGTCTTACCGGGCGCGCTGCAGTCCGCGCAGATCTCTCTGTTTCGCGCTCTAATGGACATCATACAGCTGCGTTCCACGACAGTCTAAAACATTAATGTGATTAAGGGATTAATGAGGGAAAGGGACAGATGTGAGGAGGACTTGTTTCCCTTGTTCCTCCTTATTTGACGCCTTTTTTCACTTCCTGGAAGAGGAGGAGATCAGCAGTCATGGGCGGGTGTTCTTCAACATGACGACGTTACTGCAGGCGAGCGACGCGACCACTAGTTTGTCGCGTCGTATCGCTTTTAGTTTACATTCATAAATACAAACTAGAGGGTGGTGGGGGAAGAAAAACTCATTTTGTAAATATGAGGCAAAACAGAAAGTACTGTGTGTTCTGACAAGAAGGCTTGTTTGAATGTCACTAATTTTAATAAATAGTTATTGGCTAAAATATTTGGAGAAAATAAGAAGAACGTAAACCCTTTGGCCACTTGATTTGCCTTCAAATCTCTGGTCATAAATTACAATTTTACATTTACTCACTGTTGTTTTACACGGAAATCTTTTAATATCTGTAGCAACCTTTCTTTGTTTAGTTATGTGGGTCAATCTGGTGAGGAATTATTCTCCCTGAAAAACTGAGATTAATTGGGGCATTTAGAAGAAAGGACCCTAGAGATCTCCAAGTAGAGCATGTCTGTAAATGAGCAATTACTGCAGTTTACTACGGTGGCCGAGAAGTGCAAAGCAAATCACAATTCTGAAAACAAAAGAACAAATTAAATGCAAATGCAAGTCTAAAAAATCAACAAAAAAAGCACAGCACTTATCCATCTGCGCCACTGGAGCTGATGGTTTACAGCCACTTTTAACTAAATGTAAATATACACTCCGTATTTTTTATTCCAGAGTAAGGGCAATTCATACAATACATTTAAACTGAGCTACTTTAATACCATCTCCGAACTTTCTACCACGACTCTGCTGTTCTTCGGCTGGTTCTTCCCTGTATACGTTGATTGACAGATGTCTCGTCCAGTCAGCAGTGAGTAATCCCAAACCAATGGCGCTGTCTCAAACTATACCTACCTTTTCCGGTTTGTCTGATTTGTCGTTGTGTTTTCTGACTTATTTTGTTTTCTGAATTGTTGTTGTGTTTTCTGAATTGTTATTTTGTTTTTTAGACTTGCATTTGCGTTTGTAATTTGTTATTTTGTTTTCAGAATTGTGATTTGCTTTGCACTTCTCGGCCACCGTAGATTACCTTCTATGTCTTCAAAAGTCTTCTTTGTAGATAAATGACAATCAAATAATTGTTCATTAAAACATTATGGGATAAAAGGAGTACAAATTTCGGACTGTTATGACATCTTAAATGTAGAGTTAATTCAGGTAAACTGGGGCACTTTTGACACTGGGGTAAATGTCAAAAATAGCACAGTTAATGTAATAAAATTCATTAAAAAATTACAGTGATATCAGCCACAAAGGTGGACACAAACACTAACAGGATTCAAGCAATAAAATGACAAACTAGAGTAAAGGTTATTTTAGTCCATTTGACATTTTTCTGATCTTTTCTGTCTTCCACTTTATTCTATGTATAAATATTGTTGAGAGGAAATAAATAATACAAATGCAGAAAATGTAGCAAGTAATAACATGCAATAAAAATCTCTTTTAAATACTTTTATTCATTCCGCCTATTTCTTGACAACACAAAATGTATAGTTTTTTTTCAGGGATCCCACAGTGCAGCCAGCGCATGTAGGATGTGCACTGACTGTACACAACATATAAATACATTGCAGTATACTTGTGTATATATACATTTTGTAAAGAAAACTTTAAATAATTAAAAAAGCCTCAATGTTGTAATTACAATACATATTCATTTTTCTTTCTTTCAATGTTTCAGGAAAAAAAAAAAAAATACACAAAGAATAACCGGTGTATTTTTATCTCAGTGTATAGCTCCTGGATTTGACATGGCCTTAAAAAAAATACCACATATGAATTTCCAAACCATCCGGACCATAACAGTCATGGCCATAGAAAAGCAACCATCCTGTCTGTGCACATAGGCTACTGTAAAAAATAATACTGTAAGCAGAACTTGGGAAAATAATACTTTTTAGGGCCTGACAGTGAGCAATGTGGCACCATTGCTGTGGCCTCTCAGTGCTTGACATGAAAAGTGCCTTCTAAATCACCTGTGCTTCCAAACCCAGCAGGTTATGTCCAAACAAAGGATTGTCTTTCAGCTAGAAAATACATTCACACAGACGGTTCATGTGGAGTTTCAGCAGTACTTACACACTCTACTTGAACACACATTGCACATTTAATACTGCATATTGGCTTAATGAAAATGAGGATGAATACAGACATGAATGAACTGTAGTCCTTGCTCTGGATTGATTTTTAGGAACATAACCATCATGAAAAATGCATTTTGTGTGTGTCTATTCTTAACAGCTAACTGACCCCTTAGCATAAACAGTGCATGTTGATCACTACGGCCTGCAGATTATATTTTTACATTTCCTAATTGGCCTTGTTGCTATAGCACAAGAGGTCTGCCACTAAAGCCAACATGGGATAGCAGAGGCTCCAAAAGTCATGCACAAGACCTCACAGGACAAAATTATCATCTAAGATCCAGTTGCTTTGAACAAATTGGACTGACTGAGACAGCCATCAGCTCTGTTTCTTTACATCAGTTCATACATTGGTTTAAACAATGCCAAAGTCAACTGGACTTATTAATGAACTTAAAACAAGCTGATTCCATGGGAAAAATCTACATGAATCAGAAACTATAGGACTCTATGTTTTATAATATGTGAAAGACTCCATAAAAACCACTTGATATTTAAATATTCAAACCAGAACTTTAGATTGTGGAATTGCTGCTTAGAAATAGATCAACTTCAGTAAATACATTTCTAATTAGATTTTGGCCTTTTAGAATTAAGAATTAAAATTATTCTTGATGAGGAGGAAAGAGGGGAACAGGATCAGGAAATCGGCTACCCGTGACTCGAACCCGTGTTGCCTACATGAGCACCATGGCTCAATATCAATGTTTGTTGGAGTTTCGTATGAGAAAACACAAGTTTTTGCGTATGACACCTCAAGAGTTTTTAGTCAATTTGACCATTTTCATGAGGTTGATTTTTTTATTATATTGCCAAAGTTTCTAGACAGTTTCTCTTTGTAAATTCAAGCATAACCTGGATTTTTCACAGTCCAGTCTTAACACACCCACTGCTGGTCTCTCTGTAAGAACACATCAAGATAAATGTCTGTCCAGCTTCACAGCACTAACAAAAACAATGTTAAATACTTTCTGACATCACATGACCAATGTGCATCTCTCACCCGTCCAGCAGCTGGTTCAGCATTAAAACACAAAAACAACAAACAACATGGAAAAAAATAATCTTGGAATGGCTTTAAAATCGAAGCTTGGCAATATGAAGTTGTTTACAGCTGCCCGCAGGATATAAATGAACCCTGAGGGAGAACAGAAACACATTCATGTAACAATAACTCATTCACAAATGAATGGATGCTATTGGCTGGGGTGGACCTGCTGTAGTTAACCACTGCATGAGAGGTTTGGTTGATTTGATGGCTGCAACCCAATTCCCATACTCTTCCTCATAATAGAGCACTGAAGTGATGGCATATCACCCTGGTTCTCTCGACAAAAATCCAAAAGGATTTTTCCATTGGCTTCTGGTTTATTGCAGAAAGTAAGCTCTGTGACCAACAATGGTTTATGATGCTTCCACGTTTTATTCATCATGATATCTTCACCAATGAACAAAACTTTTACGACTTTTGAAGCCTAAGTGCCAGAAGTAAAAATCTAAATGCGAGCTAGAAACAGACAACACCACGATTGCTTGACTTCATAAGGGCCTTTTGCACCACGGGAACCTTTTCATAGTACCAGAACTAATTGTGGAACTACCCACTTTTTGGCGTTTCCGCACTGCTGGAACTGGGTGCGATTTTAGTACCGGACTGCCTTTTTCGAGAACCAAATTAGCTCCTACTCCGGAGCAGGGTCTAACCAGCACAACTGGTAATAATCGTGATGTAAGTCGACATTGATTGGCCAAACGCGTACGAAAACGCCCTCACCCGCCATGATTTAAAACTCTGTGTAAACATACTGTAAACATTGTGTCAACTTATTTCGCAAGTATGGAGAACAGCGATAGATGGACGGACGCTGAAGTGCAGGCACTTTTGAACATTTACGCAACGGAGGAAATCCAGTTGGAATTCGAAGGAACAAAACGTCCTCCATCCTCCTGTTGTTAACATTGTTCTTCTTTGTTTCCGTTGTTGAACGCCGTGCACGGCTTACGTCACTTCCTAGTACACAGTCAGTGCGAATGAAACCCTTTAAATGGTACTGGGAAATAGTTCACGCAAAATCATCCCAGTACTTTAGTACTGTACATTTAGTTATGGAACTAAAGCGGTGCGAAAGGCCCTATAGTCAACTCTTTCAGTTCAACTCTTTCTTTTTTTAAAAATTGAGTTTTCCTGTTCGGTTTGATGTTAAATGTGCACAGTATTTTCCTATAGTTTACTCTGCACATTAAACTGGCGAAGACTGAAAAATCATCTGTCAGTGAATGTGCAAGTGATTTGGCCATTCATGAAAACTGAAGTATACTTTGAAAGGCAAAATGGATCGGAACATGGAAAAAGTATACTTGTGGCTTAACCGTGTCCAAACTATATGCCTAAAAGTATGTACTTTTTCCAAGTATGTACTTTTATTGTGCAGTAGCATGGAAACTGGAATGCAGCCGATGACGCTTAGTAGAATGTTAGAGACCATGGCTCTTTTGCCATTGCAAATCAACCAATCGGAGGAAGTCAGTCCTCCAAACAGGGGAGGATATACCAGTTGCATATAGTTGATGCACCATGGCGCAAGCTATCAAGGAACCAGCCTTGATTCTCCATGGAAGCCTGTTACAAATGAACTCTGGCAACAAATATAGCTCTACATAGAAATGATATATTTTCATGTGTATCATAATATGATTCAATTCCATATTTTGTTTTTATAAATAAATGTGTACATGTCCACGCAACATTTGCTGATAGTAACTCCATATTTTCTTTATCTGGTCCCAGACTCCAAAAGGTTTAAAAAAGTGATGCTGCCGAGTTCCAACATCCGCTCAAGTGTTTAAACCAGAGTCTGTGTCTGTTTTGAAGAGACAGTTGAATTGTTTTGGTGCGTTTGTTTTAGCCCTGGGTGAACAGACCGGTTCCACGATCACGGGACTGCATTCCTTCATTTTTTTCAGCTCTTTCATCGCAGAGAAGACAGAGAAATTGCAGTACTGGGTTTCTATCAGTGTCTGTTGTCAGAAAGGCCTCACAGCGCTGCAGCCGGACCGTGAGAGCCGTTCAGTCAGTTCCCCGGCCCAGCACATCGGGTCGCTTACATGTGGAGATGTTCATTACATTGGCTGAGCCGGGACTCAGTGATAGTGACTTCGCCTTTCTTCACTGTCTGAATCGTAGTCTCTCAACCCCATACCTTTCTGGAGCTTCATTAGAGACTCTCTCATCTGTAAACACCCAAATACATCTTTGAAATCCTTTAATGACTGCAGCTTAAAGAAATAGTTCATTTGAAAGATTTAGGATATAATCATACATGGAACACTTTCACGCAAAATTCTTCCAGGTTTCACATTTTGTATTCTACTGAAGAAAGCAAGGCTATAGATTTAGAATGACATAAAAATTTGTAATTTTTTGGGTGAACTATCCATTCATAATTATTCCTCATTGTTGATACTCTATTAACTCTTTCCCCGCCAGCATTTTTTTAAAAAGTTGCCAGCCACCGCCAGCGATTTTGATGATTTTCACTCAAATTTGATGGCCTCCAGTATATTTTGCTGTATGAATATTTGAATATGCAATACACCAAAATAAAGATCAGAGCCTCTACTTTCTACTCTTTTTTTATTCTAGCTTAAAGCATTATTTTTTATCAACACTTGAATATAGGTAGGTTTCATAAAAATGCATAAAATTTGAAAATCTAATTTTTATTAAAAACTACATCTGGATAATATTCAGTACGATTATCAAAGCATAAATCCAGTAAATCGCTTCCATCAACACCTCCAAAGCTTGCACAGACATATACCACTTTCTGGATCAACATTTTACTCGCAGTTTTCATTTATATGCTGTCTATTGCTGATGATCGCATTATTTTTCATATGCATCTGTTTACATAAGAGATCTCTAGTTTTTCCGTCCTGTTCACGTGTGTTTTTGTTCGGGAGGTTTTGTACTCCTTCAGAAGATGCGTAATAGCGCCCCCAAGTGTATAACAGTGAAAACACGAAAAGCCGTTAAACGTCTTTGGCGGGGAAGCGTTTTCTTTTAAAAGACGAGATAACTCGTCAATGGCAGGGAAAGAGTTAATAGGATGCAGTTATAAAAGTTCTCAATTTTTCAAACTTGAACTTGATCTTACCTCATCCAATAACAGCACAGATGACTTTATTATTTCCCGCCATTTTTCCAGCTCGTTTTCATGGTAACGCTGCTGAGATTCCAAAAGTTGAGCCCATTCAATCTGTGTCTGTGGAAGTTTACTGCAACACACACAGAGCCAAAAACATTCCTCACACAAGTATCATTCAAGTTCATATGCCGCAAAAATCTGTTTATTTATCAATAGTGTTTCCTCTTGTGTTCTGGTAAAAATGCAACAACAACAAAACAATAAAAAGACTTGAAAAGCAAAATCTGAAAAAGACAGAAAATGTATACTGAGTGTATTAAAAAAAAACACACATTTGGGCAATGAGGTAAGAACTTATGCAATATTGCTCAATTAATTTGATGTTGTACTTAAAAAAACAAAACAGATTAAAAAGATTTTATGCAGAGTGGCACAAACAGTGCAGGACGAGTTATGTGCCAAAGTTTAGGAGTTTTGAAAAACCTCATATTCCATCTCTAAAAAAGAACAAATAAACACATTCAAAGGTCTAGTTACTGTACCTTTGAGACCTGAGACCCTGCCAGCCGGTCAAACTCTGAGCCGTGTATTCCAGCATCCATAGCTTATAAAACAGCATCATGTTCAAAAATACCAGTAGCACCAGACTGAAGAGCAGAAGAGGACAAACTCAGATTAGCTCATGAACGGCAACGCATAAATCCTAAAGCAGCTAAACAAGTTTCACGTTCATACAGATGAAAACATAGAATACCTTACACAAATCCTGCAGGATGCAATGAAAACAGGAGAGAGAAAATACATGAAGCCAAAGAACAACAGAATGCAACGAATTCCAGCTGATCAACAGTGTGAGTTACTTGTACAGTCACTAAGAAATGTGAAATAAACAAAGAAGCCTTTTAGTCTTCTAAAAATATAACGGAGGGAGTAATATGAAGACTATCAGACCAAAATAGACACTGAATGAAACATGCCATGAAGACTTTAAAGAGGCCTAGTTTATACATTTATAGCATGCAATATTATGTATACATCATATTCTTGTATTTAATAACAGGAAAGTTCCTTCACATGGCACCTTTAAATGAGATGCATGTGTCAGTTTTATATTGCAGTTAGACATTATTTGCTAAAATGAGCAATTTAGGAGAAAAGGAGTAGAGAAAAGAAGTCCTGTGATTTGGTTTCTCACTGCGAATACTCACACAGAGCTGATTATAAGCAGAAGTTTGGAAACGCTGTAGAGAGCCAGGCCTTCAGATCCGTGGTCCGGGATGTGTCTGGTCTGTGTGGATCCTGCGGCAGCACATACATTATAATCAATAACACAAAAACAACAATCAGGCATGTGATCAACTAGAGACAAAAAAAGAAGGAAAACCTGACCACGCCCACAAGCCACACCCCCAGCACTTATTATTAAAAATATATATTTAGCACATTAAAAGATATATCCTATATTTTAAGAATACATACTATTGTCCTGTAAAAAATAAAAAGCAGCATTTAATAATCATGATAACATTATAATATAATATTTTATAATGAAGTACTATAATATATTATATAGAGTATATAGAATTGTTATTATTTAAAGCACCTACCAAACGTTTGAAACCATTACAATTATTAATGATTATAATGATCTTCTGCTCATCAAGGCTGAATTTATTTGATCAAAATAAAGTAAAAAAAATACAAATTGTATTATATTATAAAATGTAATGTTATTCCTGTGGTGCAATCCAATTACTCCAATTTTCAGTGTCACATGAACTTTTAGAAATCATAATTTATTTGGCTCTCAAGAAACATTTATGATTATTATCAATGTTGAAAACAATTTTGCTGCTTTATATTGTGTGGAAATGGTGATACACTTTATTTTTCAGGATTTTTTGATAAATAGAAAGTTTAATGAACAGCATTTATTTGCAGTTATCAAATATATTAATTCAATTTGCTAATGCATTTATTACATAGAAATCATTTTAAAAGTCTTCACTCACTTTTGATCACTTTCATGCATGATGAATTCAATTATTAATTTCTCTCTCTTTTTTAAATCTTATACAAATGTTTGAGTGGTATCATTGTTTCCACAAAAATATTAAGCAGCAAAACTGTTTTTAACATTGATAATAATGAGAAATGTTTCTTGAGCAGCACATTAGCATATTAGAATGATTTCTGAAGGATTGTGTGACACTGAAACTTCTCTTTTTAAACAACAACAGATTTGTATAAACATTTCTAATGACGAATGTTGCGTTCCCAAATGCACTAACAGTGAAACGATGCTAAAAACAGTACTGTAACAGCAGACGTGTAGCGCGTCAGACTACAGCCTATTATATAATTACATCACAACCGTTGCAAATTTTAGGACAGCACTAGCAATCTCAGGCTGCATCCGAAAACTTAGGCAGCTGACTTGCTGCCTCGCTGCCGTATGAGGCGATGACTTTGCAGGCAGCGTTTTTGCACGAAGGCACCTCATGAAACTGATTTCGGACAGGCTTCTGAGGCAGCGTAATGCTTTAATGATCTACAACAAAATAGAATGAGTTTTTGTGATAACTAAACGAATATTTAATTACTATAATACTGATTTCTCGCTAGAACTAACATCAAAAGTGCAAAAAGTTAGTCAGAAATATACATTTACACACAAACTGACCACCAAACGCAACTTTCAGACGCCATCTTTATTTTTTAGCTCAACCATCACGGAATGGAACGCACGGGATTGTGGGATATCAAAGGCAGCGAAGGATACATCTGCTGCCTTCAAAATTCGATCAGAAGAAGGTACCTCCGGAGACAGGAAGTAAAGCAGAATTTGGATTCGGACATGCCTTGATGCTTTCCTGCCTTGGAATGCTGCCTCCGAAGGCAGCATTTTAGAGTTTTCAGACACAGCCTCAAATTCTCACTGCCATTCATAAAAAGTTACTGGGTCGAGTAACACGTTTCAGCGCTGATTCTACTCGCGTTTGGCACTTTGAATCATTTGAACGCTTTTAACTGTCCTGCAAATGCCGCAGCAAGCTCGTACAGCGCTCTCAGGACCATTCCGTCCATGATGTTTTAGAAAACAATCTTTTCACAGTTTATTTAGGTAATAGCTTAAGGCCATTTGCGTGATTTCAATCATAATGCAGTAATGCAGAAATCTGCATTTATATGGAAAAATCACATCCCTGAACAATAATGCCCAGGTACACTAGGAGAGATTTGGCTAATGTCGCACCTGCCACGTGTTTGATGCGATGGATGACACTGTTCTCATCCTCAGGTGTGGTGACGGGACTGAGCGCCTCGTCCAGGTGCTGCTGCCTAATGTGCGTCAGCGGCCGTTTCCTCCGTCTCACTGTAGCTGTGCGTAGGGCTTTGGACTTGGGAGACTGTTTGTGAGGTTCAGATAGCACCAGCTGTGCCTTACTCAACTCCAGCTCTATATACACACACACACACACACACACACAGAAAAGAGACAGAGAAACATATTATTTTCATCTTTATTCTTTTTATCCTGTTCTATGCGTTTTAATTACATTCTGTAATTTTATTATTGGTAACATTGTAAGTAAAATATAGTAAGTAAAAATATTTAAAGGGCACCTATTATGTCCCTTTTTACAAGATGTAATATTGGTCTTGGGTGTCCCCAGAATGCGTCTGTGAATTCTCAGATCAAAATACCTCACAAATCATTTATCTAACATCTGGAACATGTATTTAATTTATTAAACATCTGGAAAATGACATTTTTGGGGCATGTCTAAAAAAGAGTTGTTTTGGGGCACTGTAAAAAAATGCCATTAAAAAAACGGTAAAATGACTGGCAAACAAAAAACTTGAAATTTTAGTAAAATATCATAATTGAAACATGGAAAAATCTGTAAAATAAGGGTTTTACACTGTAAAAAAAAAAAACGGTTGAATGACTGGCAGCTATGGCTGCCAAACGAAAATGGTAAAAATAAAGTAAAATATCAGAATTGAAACAAGGAAATTTTTGTAAAATAACACAGTTTTTCTGTAAAACCTTTAATGACAATTTCTGTAAAATTATTGTTTTTGCGCTTTATTTCAATTAAGATATTTTACTGTAATTTTACGGGTTTTTGATTGGCAGCTGTAGCTGCCAGTCATTTGACCATTTTTTATTACAGTGTTTTTATCACTTTAAATGCAAATGAGCTGCATATTCCCACCCCGTCTCCAGAAGAGGGAGTAGCATATACATCTCTCTGCTTAGTTTGCATACCTAAACAGCCGGTAGAAGCAACATGACTGAGGGATTAGGGATGGCACAGGGATTGCTTTGCTGACGTTACAGCTGCTCGAGAGCGGAGAAAATGGAGAACAACGCACAACCGCAGAAACTATAGCAATGCAGGGCTGTCAATCAGCCGCCGTGGACCGGCCCTATGCGATGTGATGTCATATTGCTTAGAGAATCAAAACGGCAGGCCTAGTGAGACTGATTTGGTTTAATGGGGATTAAAAAATAAATAAAAAATTGTAATTGTAGGGTGGTTGTGTTCACACACTGCCAAACACACCTTTATGTCCAAATACCATGTAAAAGTGTATTTAGCATAATAGGTGCCCTTTAATGATTTAAAATTTGTTTTAATTTTCAATAGTCCATTATTGGCATAAATATGATTTATCTTTATAATTGTTATACTTTATTATGCAGTAAATTTTTTAAGTCCCTGCTCTACTAAAACGTACCTAAATATCTAAAATATTCATCCAAGCCACTCCAGAAGTTTCGCTCAATGAAGCCCTTGACCAATCCCCATGGCTGCTTCCTGTAGCGTAGTTCAGCTGACACCCTTTTAGATTCATACAAAAAAACACAGCATTTTACCCTTACATGCTAGAAAATGTTTTAGCAGAGCATTAAAATAGAGTAAATAAATATAGAGCACAAGCTTTACCTCAGGCGGCACTTGTTCTTGGCGACTCTAGTGAGCATATAGCGGTTGAGGGTGTAAAAGTAATCGTGATACGGGACATCGTGAGCAATCACCTCAGCGTCGATGATGTAGCACTCGCTCACTTGACTGGCCTTGTGCAGAGTCTAGAAGAAAAACAAAGAAACAGCAGCTTCATCAAGACAAAACTACATTTAGCATGTCCCATGTACTGTATGCGGCTTGTTTGTCTCCTCTGGTGAGCTCACCTGCGTCTCTGTAACTGTGGCCGTCTTTGGGGCCAGTGGGTTGGAGAGGGAGATGGTGTACATGATCTCTCTGCTCTGATTACCAGTGTCTTCTTTCCTCCATGGGTTATAGACCACATCTGAAAGAGAAAAAAGGTTGAATCAATAATAGTCAGATATAGGCAGACAGACAGACAGACAGACAGATAGCTGTATAAAGACTATTACATAGAGTTGGTCAACCTGAGAAGCGTCTCTGCTCCAGAAACTCTCTCATGAACTGGGATTCAGTGAAGAGGATGTCATACAGTTTATCCACACTGAACATATATACTTCATTAATGTACAGTTTCCCATTCAGATCTTCCTGGAAGGCTTGCACTTCCCCTGCTGAGAACACAGAAACAGGAAGAGGCCGTGTGTCAGGCCAGATGTGGTACAATATATAGAAATTGTTGGATGTAGAAATCAGTTTTGGGAGAGCGTACACACCCTCATCGTGTGTTTCTGAGGAGTCGCTGAGTTCAGTGGGGAGGTCCTCATTGTCATTGAAGTCAAGGGAAGGTGAGGGGACGGGGACGGGGATGGGGACGGGGGCATGTGCGGAGCCACTGGTCTCTGACAGCTTGTTGTCAGGTAATGGCAGGGGTACGAGGTCTTCTGGGACGCAGCCACTGAAGTCCTCCACTGGGGGCACGTCAAACTACATAGATAGAAAGATTGTTTGTGAATATTTTTCATTAATAAAATATCAAACACCCAAAACATGAGTTTGCCATCCTAACGTTATGCTGCAATGGTCAGGTACGGCAACCTTAACCACCCGGTAAAGCATTACTGTCATACAAACTATTATTCCCACAGTAATGCAGTGATGTGTTGTGTGAAGAGATCTGGTGCTTACATTGACCGGAGCGTCTGTGCTGTCCGTGGAGTTCAGACTGCTGTTGGGGAAAACCTTCCTGTGGAGCTGGGGGCTGATGTCCATTTTGGCGTCTGGGGTTTTAGGGCAGTTGTCATTGGCCTCGTTGTCTTCAGCGGGAATCTCCTCACAGTACCTGCACCAGGGAGAGGGGCAACAGCTGCAGGTCAAGATTACCAGCTCGGGCAGCAGAATAGACCAATGGGATGGACTGATGGATAGTGGAGGAGAAATGAAGATGTCTACAGCAAATGAATGAATTCAATTTTCCAAGTTTGACTAGGTATATCTGATTGGGCTGGTGCAAAGCTGAACAGCCATTAACTCCAGTCTTCTACTCCAGTGTCACATGATAATTTAGGAATCCCTAAAATTACAAATGAACGTCTGTTTTCTGGATCTCTGGATCTCAAAGCTGTGAGAGAGGGTGGATATTTGTAAATTATGAATCACCTAAATGGTTGAACATTCATGATGGGGGAAAACTCACCCCATGGTGTTGAAGTCGTCATCAGGAGGTACGTAATCCTCATCATCACTGGTTAGACCCAGTTCATTCCCATAACACTGATGGACAAAGTGCCACAGCTCTTTGGGACACAATGGCTGGATAAAAACGAGACACACAGTGGGTGAACATGGCCACCAAACATTTGTTTTCAACAGATCATAGGATATAACGCCATGTCTTTTCTAACCTTGTCCAGAAGAGCATTTTGCCAGAGTCTAAACATCATCATGTATGTCCGATCTCTTGCCCCGAATGAGGTAAAAAAGTGCTGGAGGAGAATATGTGAATGTTTAGTGTTGGTACACTACTGGTGATATGTCAAAGTCAAAAGTCAAAGGCCTGTGTTTACCTTTTCACTGTCTGTACACAGCTGGATGGCATTGGGAATGAGTCTAGCCGTCTTCTCTTTCGTCATGGAGCAAACATCTTTCAACCTCACAGTCAGCTACACGCACAAGACAACAAACTCTATCACTCTATTGCCAGAGCTAAAAAGACAAATAAAGTGCTACATCGTCAAAAGAAGGGCAGAAATGTGATTTTGTGCAAAATTAGCTGCTTTCCCTCACACAGCTTTGCTGATCCAGCTGTGAGAGACTGATACCCTCTGAGATGAGAGTAATTCATCAACTCACCAGTGTTTCCCAGCGGAATATGTTGCTATAGAAACAGATCCAGTTTTCGGAGAGGTAGAGGCGACCCTGCAGGAGGATATCTCTCTGCAGGGCACAGGAGTAGTCTGTCAGGATGAGGTCACAGGTCAGAGGTTAAGACATACCAGCCAGTTTCATACATAAAGCTTTTCCATTGTTTCCAATCACACACCAAATATACAATAGGCTACCACTAGTTAGAAAAAAATTGTGGATTTCAGTCTTTTATGAAAGTTGTAAAAATTATAATACCTATTACATCGCAGCATAAAGATCAAATAAGACTCACCCACAATGAGGCGCTCTGTGTCGGGCAGCTGCTTAAAGAGCTTCCTGAAGTCTTCATTTCGCTGTTTGTATGTGGGGCTCAAAACCTGAGAGACAAGAGGAAAGAGAGAATGAGGCCAGCTATATACAACACACATAAACACACACAGCCACAAACATCCAAAAAGAAACACTCAAAACATTCAGCATTTCCAAGATGGTACAAGACCTCATTTGCTAGAGACAAACTGTAAAGGGTCATTCTACAAAACAGGTGCCATTTAATAATAATAAGTAAATAAAATAAAAAATGCATAATTATATAAATTACATTTAAAACATAAAAGTTAATGAAAATAAAATTTAATGTTATATATACATATACATTTTTATTTTATTTGTATAAAATATATACTATATATATATATTTTTACTTGCGTTTTGTTGTGTTTGTAAAACTGACAGCCTGGTTCACAGAACAACCCATCCCCCCCCCCCCCCCGAAAAAAGCCAAACAC